TCCATTAACTCAAGATCAGATTTTGAAATTTTTCCACTTTCGATCCATAATCACTTCACAATCCAGTGAGCGATTCCCAAGAACAGGCAATACATAGGATCCATGACCAAATGTCTAATTGGATTGTGATAAGGCAAACGAAGCATTTTGGACCACCTTACATGGGTTTTACTAACATGTTTCTTCCTATCATCTTTTGTTTGTTGTTTCTTCCAAATGATAGCATTATAATGATGTACTATTGGGTCTTTTACTTTAAACCAATTAGACATATCATCGAATCCTCTAAAGTTTGGTCTTTGACCATCTTCACTGCTTGCTCTTTTGTAACACCTATGATATCCTACCAATGCCGATATATGACCGCACAATTTTCTTGCAGCTGGAATGTCATTGCTGCAACATATTACAGCTATTCTGATATTTCTACCAACGGAATGATCATGGGTTACTGGTAAGTCAACACCATTCCAAAATTCCAACAATATATCTACTATCAGAGCAAGATAGTGATTTATTTTATGTAATTTAACCTTTTTAGGTCCTAGTAGAAGCCCGAGGGTTAACATATTCTCTTTTTTGAATCGGACATTTCGTGGAAGATTGCAAATTACCCTACATATGATACCACAACTATAAGCTGCCGATTCAAATGGTTGAAACCAATCTAAATTTATCATTATCCCCAAATGTGAATCTGCAGCTTCATGTGTGAAAAATCGAGAGGTATTTGGTATATCAAGACGTGATAGAAAAGTTTTTCATATTTCACCATTATATATATCTGACAACATTTCAGGCCCAATATCACGATCGACCCATTTTCTTAAAAGCTGTTCAAAACCTGGCCTTTTGTACATTGTAAATATTTGGGTCTTTAAACATGGTATCGGGTATAACATTTTTGGTCTCCATATGTATCCATCAACTACCAGGACTTTTATCAGCAACTCTGACCCACAAGATTCATGTTGGTTTCACATTAGATGGTTCAGAAACTCAACATAATTACATTTAAATCCTGAATCCTCACTATTTAGTTGTTTACTGGTATAATTTCTTTAACATCATATAATTTATTACAAGTGTTACATACTGCATATGTTTTTGATTTCTTTCTAACTTCCAACAACTTTCTAGCCATATAGATAGTTGAAGGAAATT